AATTGTGTATAGATCTATATTGGTATTGACACCCCACACCTTGCTGCTAGCTACAGCGGGACCTGCAGGTCTACGGGTGACAAAAGTCATAACAAATTTTAACGTCTGAAAAACGTTGTAACAGGTCATCCGGTTGTAGTATGGTTATAGCGACTCACATAGGGAGTTAACATCATTTAAAGTTTACGGGAAACTATACTTTAAAAAGGAAAACAAAAAGAGGTTTTATCTATTTAAAACTGCACTCTTCGTTTAAATTACGAACACACACTCATGCATTCGGTCTTGGGATTTAAGACTACATGATATTTTATAAGGAAAATATTGGATTTTTCTTGTGTATACATTTCATTTTACCAATAAAGTCTTCCAACATTTCACCCAAAAGCTTATGAACTCACCAACTTAATTGTTGACACTCTTTCAAAACTACTTGTATTCTCAGGAAACCCGTGAAACAGGTAATCGACTGCTTTTGAGGATGAGACGCCAGACGTCAAATTATACATTTTTGTCATCATAATGTAATTGATTTTGAAACATGTAAACTCATGCTATGGTGTAACTTTTTCAATTATATTTATGATGGTTGTATTTACTATGCGCACTATTATACTCGTTGTTGTGATACTATACATGAAGTCCTCCACCACTGAACGTTTCCGCCATCCTTGGTTTGGGGGTGTGACATATCTGTTAACTCACCCCCTACGTGCCCCTCGTGTGAGGATATTTAGTAACTTTACATCTCATCTATCTCCCCTAATATAATATACTCATCTTTGAAGAACCCTAATTCCTCATCCTCATTTATATCTCTTTTGTCTCTCCTTTCATTCTAGTTCAAGCTCACGATCTTCAAGCTAACTCACTTCTCCCTTATGGCTTCCTCATCTAATCAAAGGTACTTTACACAACAATTTTATTTATTACAAATATGATGACTATGATTACATATACATTTTTATATTAAAATTTGACAATTTTACAAAACATCCAAGGTTTAACCTTTGGCAAAAAAACAAACTACATACAAAAAAGATTAAAACTTGAACCTTAAACCTTCAACCTTCAAAAACCTAGTACCTTCAACGCCCCTTTAAGCCTATCGGGAACCTTCAAAACGTTAAACCCTTTTAAGAATTGGCATCCCCTGCTTCACTCTATAATCAAGGACCTCTAGAAGATTGATAAAATCCATACGGATCTCTAAATCTTTATCTCTAGATCCAAGGATATAAAGTTGTGATTGACCTTCTTGTGTGGTATGGAAAAAAATTAAGATGTTGAAGCATCAACCCTTCTCCCCATGCCTTGCCAATATCATGCCACATTGCTCCAAAACAAGTTCCTATTTTTCATGATCCTTCCATAAGTTGTGTTTGATTTCACTGATCGGTAGATTTTGGGTCTTGTTAGACTTAAATAGTTTCTAGGATCGTGATTGTAATCACTTTCTAAAATATGTGATTTCAACCCTTATGCCAGGGGTATCACGAAATCTGATTTGGGATAATTTAAGAGAGACAATTTATAAGTCATGCCACTTCCAAATTCAAAATACAGAAATACCTTGTTGTTTTGTGTTCTTGATAAGATAGAAAGAATCAAATGAATAGATTTCGAGTATAGAGAATGTAACCATTTTTCTAGAACATTCGCATTCCATTTATACAAGGAAAGTGGTTAAAATCAGTTACCCAAAAATTGGCACCAAAAGAGGGTAGTTTTTGGACATAATCGACGCCTACATCATCATGATGTCATCAGTAGGTTTTGGCAGGAAAATTCATGTCTGGACTCTATCATGATATAGAAATTCGTTTAGGTTTCGAGGCTCTGCACTTATGCACTTAGGACACTGCAGGGGTGCTGTCCCTAAACTACGTCAGGGGAGTTGCCCCTTGGAACCTCGTACCCAGGAGCGTTGTCCCCAGACCCCCGTATTGTCGTGTTCACATTTATCACTCTGAGTGTACACCCCGCACCTTTGGCCTCGGCGAATAAATAGAACTCAACCTATCTCAATATTAATAATAAATATATTAAAACATGTTAATAACACTAAGATCACCAACACTAATTACCTAGAACGTAAATCACGATCTTCTCTCCATTGATTTTTAGTTAGAAAATATAGGCTTTTGGAAGATTAAGTGATATTTGAATGTGTTTTTTTTATTTATAAGTTATGTTTATAAGGATAAGCTTCGTTACCCATTATTAGTTATGACACTGAAAATATCTTTTGGGGCTGCTTCATATACATAGATAGTAATTATTTCTTAAACTCTAGTTTTACTTGTTTTGGAATGACATCCATAACTCCGTACGTACCTAGACCCTAGTAGAAATAACAAAGAATAATGTTTTATGAATTCTTCATATACTCGTTTATATGCTTATTAAAAAGCCATATGTTATCCATACTCATCGTATAATACTATTAGGACAAAATTACAAAAATGATTAATGTGGTTCGCTAAAAGTCACAAAGTCAGTCCCTACTATTTTTTTTTTTTTGATGCAAATGGTCATTGTGGTTTGCAAAACTTGCATGGATGGCCATTTTTACTAACTTCGTTAGTATTCAGCCATTAGGGACTGAATTCGTAAGGGCATTTTCCTCTTTTCAAATTTAAAGGGACTAAATGCTAGAAAAGGAGGGAGGAGGATTCGAACTTGGAACCTCCCCCCCTCCCCTCTCCTAATCAACCAAAGCTCCAATCAACCAGACTAGACTGGAACTTGTTTTATATTTCCGAAAACTAATTAATATTATCTAAAATCGTAAATACATTAATAATAATAAAAACATATTTTTTCAAAATAAATAAATAAATAATTTACAAACAATTTATTTGTTTTTTTACGTATTTATTTTACGTAAAATATACTTTTTTATGTATTTAAAAAAAATACGTTTTCATATAATATGTTATTACATTGTTATTATCCTAAAACATATTTTTTAGTTTTCATATAAAAATAAGTTTTTTTTTCTTTCACATAGAAAAAAAAAGTGTTTTTTACGTATTTATTTTACGTAAAATATGTTTTTTATATATTAAAAAATACATTTTCGTATAAAATGTTATTATATTGTTATAATCCAAAAATAACTTATTTATTGTAGGAAGCTATTATGGAGTTATTGTCCATTGTTGAACACATGCAAATATGCCTGACACATCTATGCCAATTTGCCCATTGTTTATAATCTAGTATTAAAATAACTTATTTATTATAGGAAGTAGCTGATAAAATAACAGATAGATGTAGTTTTATAGATGTTGATGTGATGGGAGAATCACATATAGACTTGCATGACAGTGTAACGGGAATCCATGAGGTTGAAGTGGATCATGTGTTAGTGGTTGATGCTGGTAGTGATGTTGAAGTGGTACTTGAGACCTAACCAGCTGTGAAAAAAAAAAGTGCAAGTTAACCAATTGTGAAATAGAGAAGGAACTTTAAAAGGATCAGAAATTCAAATCTCAAGGTAATAAAGGATGGACCTGGTGCAATATCTACATCACCAATAACTTTAAAGTAGGGGAAAAAGTGTTTGGGAATGATCCAGATGTAACTGTTACATAGTTTGACACAAGGGTAGATGTCAAAAACATTTGATCTATATTTTTATAAATTTGGTCATTCAACAATGGTCGTTTGGGGCACTGTTTACCCATAAACACATACTCTTTAAGTGTTTAACATTAAACAATGCCTTTTATATCATGTAGGAACTTTACTTTATCCATCTTAAGTTTCATGTATGATCTTGCTTTCCTTTTGTTGATGTTTTGGTCATTTTGAAAGTAAGTTGTCATTACAATTTTATTCATTACATTATGATTTTGCTTTCCAATTCTTGTTAAAATATGGTCATTGTGAAATTAGGTTGTCTTTACAATTTTGGCCATTACAATATGATCTTGTTGTTAAAATATGGTCATTTTAAAAGTAGGTTTTCATTACAATTTTGGTCATTATAGTATGATCTTGCTTTCCAATTCTTGTTGAAATATGGTCATTTTGAAAGTAGGTTGTCATTACAATTTCCTTCATTTAGGTCCTTCACAACAGAAAGTTGGTTGCCATTACACTTTTTCCCAACAACCATAGTTGTATGTATTTTTAAGTTTAGCTATTCATGACAATGACCAAGTAATAAACCGAAGAAGGTTAAACAAAAACTTGAAGCATAATTTATATTTGATTTGATCCAACTAACCGTGACTTTTACGCCCTTTTACCTGTTACAAGCAACACTAGAAACAACATAAACAAGACAACTATATAACATTTCAGACTACACACTTTCCTGTGCATCTTATCCAATTCTATATCTGTCTTCCTTTGGTACATATTGAATTCACATTCCAAAATGGAAATCCTCACTTCACATGATAGTGATCCTATTTCATATTCATTCTTATTGACTGTTTCTTCATCTTTAACCCATTGCTAGAATTTAGATTTACTCTTAGGACTAATCTAAAACAAAGAATACAAATCAATGAACAAAACATCATTAGATAAATATTGAAACCCACATTACTAGTTAATTAGAGCAAGCCCTAAATTGTTTTCCAGGGTTATCTAGGGTTTGCTATGTCCAAATTCGAGAGGAATAGCCACAATCACTAACTTTTGACTTTAGCTTTAATTGAGAGTTTGTTAGTTGGTGTGATTGTATGTTTTCTTTGTTTATTTTCTGTTGCGAGTGACTTTACTACTCTTTATATGGTGGTGATTTGAGCATGTTTTGCATGCATTGTCGTTTTATTGTTTGTTTCGAGGCATTGTGTGTTAGTGATTGTAATGGCATGTTTTAATGATCTTTTCTGCTTATGGGTTTTATCTGTTCTTGTTTTGAACAGTAAATTCTGTTTTTGGTGAAAGTTGACTTGATTGTAATTGCCTAATTGGTTCATTACTGATTTGGATCAATTCTAAAGTAGATTGGAAACAAAGAAAACATACAATCACACCAACTAACAAACTTTTGACTTTAACTTTAATTGATTCATCACCCTCATCATCCCCCCTTCAGCACCAACCTCCTCATAATCCTTCTCAAGCGCAGCCAAATCCTCCCTCGCTTCACTAAACTCCCCTTCCTCCATCCCCTCCCCGACATACCAATGCACAAAAGCCCTCTTCGCATACATCAAGTCAAACTTATGGTCAATCCTCGAAAACACCTCCGCAACCGAAGTCGAATTACTAATCATACAAACCGCACGTTGCACCTTTGCCAAATCGCCACCTGGCACAACAGTCGGCGGCTCGTAATTAATCCCACACTTAAACCCAGTCGGACACCAATCCACAAACTGAATCGTCCTCTTCGTCTTAATCGTCGCCACCGCAGCATTCACATCCTTCGGAACCACATCCCCTCTGTACATCAAACAACACGCCATATACTTCCCATGCCCCGGATCACATTTTGCCATCATAGAAGAAGGCTCAAACGCACTGTTGGTTATCTCAGCAACTGATAACTGTTCATGATAAGCCTTCTCAGCTGATATCACAGGAGCGTAGGAGGAAAGCATGAAGTGAATCCTCGGGTATGGAACTAGGTTAGTTTGGAATTCTGTCACGTCGACGTTTAAAGCTCCGTCAAAACGTAACGACGCCGTTAGTGAAGAGATGACTTGGGAGACTAAACGGTTGAGATTTGTGTAGGTTGGCCTTTCGATGTCTAGTGACCGGCGGCAGATGTCGTAGATGGCTTCGTTGTCGAGAAGAATCGCGACGTCGGTGTGTTCTAGAAGGGAGTGGGTTGATAAGACGCTGTTGTAGGGCTCGACTACTGATGTTGAGACTTGGGGAGATGGGTAGACTATGAACCCGAGTTTTGACTTTTTTCCATAGTCAACGGAGAGGCGTTTGAGTAAGAGAGAGCCTAGACCAGAGCCGGTGCCGCCGCCTACGGCGTTGAAGACTAGGAAGCCTTGGAGTCCAGTGCAGTTGTCAGCTAGTTTTCGGATTCTGTCTAAACAGAGGTCCACGATTTCTTTCCCAACTGAAACATGAAGATAAATTATTTATAAGAAATTGGATAGCCACGTTTCGTGATGTAAGAAAAGGTTTGGACACGTGTTAAGAAAAGTTTTACTTGTGTAGTGGCCACGTGCGAAGTTGTTAGCAGCGTCTTCTTTGCCGCTGATTAGTTGTTCAGGGTGGAAGAGTTGGCGGTAGGTTCCGGTTCTGAATTCATCGATGACGGTGGGTTCGAGATCTACAAAGACGGCGCGTGGGACATGTTTTCCGGCGCCGGTTTCGCTGAAGAAGGTGTTGAAAGCGTCGTCGCCTCCTCCGACTGTTTTGTCACTTGGCATCTGTCCATCAGGCTGTATACAAAAGATCGATGAATCAGTAATGTATCAGGAGTAGTTAATTTACTTGAAATGAGATGTGAATTTTAAGGTATTTTAACTCTAAAATCGTTCACGATTTTCTGCTTTTCATAGAGAATATAAATTAAGAAATTAATCCTAAAACTCAGATAGATAAGTCGAAAATTCACGCTCAATTTGAACAAAGAACCAATCTAACTAATCACAGGCTTCTAATATATCTGTGTACAAACCCATGGTGCTTAATGCTTCTAGATCCACGATTTTCTAGAGATGAATTGGACTAAAAAGTCTCCAAGAGTTGAAAAAAAAATTCACGGTTTATTATAGGAAGTAGCTGATAAAATAACAGATAGATGTAGTTTTATAGATGTTGATGTGATGGGAGAATCACATATAGACTTGCATGACAGTGTAACGGGAATCCATGAGGTTGAAGTGGATCATGTGTTAGTGGTTGATGCTGGTAGTGATGTTGAAGTGGTACTTGAGACCCAACCAGTTGTGAAAAAAAAAAGTGCAAGTTAACCAATTGTGAAATAGAGAAGGAACTTTAAAAGGATCAGAAATTCAAATCTCAAGGTAATAAAGGATGGACCTGGTGCAATATCTACATCACCAATAACTTTAAAGTAGGGGAAAAAGTGTTTGGGAATGATCCAGATGTAACTGTTACATAGTTTGACACAAGGGTAGATGTCAAAAACATTTGATCTATATTTTTATAAATTTGGTCATTCAACAATGGTCGTTTGGGGCACTGTTTACCCATAAACACATACTCTTTAAGTGTTTAACATTAAACAATGCCTTTTATATCATGTAGGAACTTTACTTTATCCATCTTAAGTTTCATGTATGATCTTGCTTTCCTTTTGTTGATGTTTTGGTCATTTTGAAAGTAAGTTGTCATTACAATTTTATTCATTACATTATGATTTTGCTTTCCAATTCTTGTTAAAATATGGTCATTGTGAAATTAGGTTGTCTTTACAATTTTGGCCATTACAATATGATCTTGTTGTTAAAATATGGTCATTTTAAAAGTAGGTTTTCATTACAATTTTGGTCATTACAGTATGATCTTGCTTTCCAATTCTTGTTGAAATATGGTCATTTTGAAAGTAGGTTGTCATTACAATTTCCTTCATTTAGGTCCTTCACAACAGAAAGTTGGTTGCCATTACACTTTTTCCCAACAACCATAGTTGTATGTATTTTTAAGTTTCGCTATTCATGACAATGACCAAGTAATAAACCGAAGAAGGTTAAACAAAAACTTGAAGCATAATTTATATTTGATTTGATCCAACTAACCGTGACTTTTACGCCCTTTTACCTGTTACAAGCAACACTAGAAACAACATAAACAAGACAACTACATAACATTTCAGACTACACACTTTCCTGTGCATCTTATCCAATTCTATATCTGTCTTCCTTTGGTACATATTGAATTCACATTCAAAAATGGAAATCCTCACTTCACATGATAGTGATCCTATTTCATATTCATTCTTATTGACTGTTTCTTCATCTTCAACCCATTTCTAGAATTTAGATTTACTCTTAGGACTAATCTAAAACAAAGAATACAAATCAATGAACAAAACATCATCAGATAAATATTGAAACCCACATTACTAGTTAATTAGAGCAAGCCCTAAATTGTTTGCCAGGGTTATCTAGGGTTTGTTATGTCCAAATTCGAGAGGGATAGCCACAATCACTAACTTTTGACTTTAGCTTTAATTGAGAGTTTGTTAGTTGGTGTGATTGTATGTTTTCTTTGTTTGTTTTCTGTTGCGAGTGAATTTACTACTCTTTATATGGTGGTGATTTGAGCTTGTTTTGCATGCATTGTCGTTTTATTGTTTGTTTCGAGGCATTGTGTGTTAGTGATTGTAATGGCATGTTTTAATGATCTTTTCTGCTTATGGGTTTTATCTGTTCTTGTTTTGAACAGTAAATTCTGTTTTTGGTGAAAGTTGACTTGATTGTAATTGCCTAATTGGTTCATTTACTGATTTGGATCAATTCTAAAGTAGATTGGAAACAAAGAAAACATACAATCACACCAACTAACAAACTTTTGACTTTAGCTTTCATTGATTCATCACCCACATCATCCCCCCTTCAGCACCAACCTCCTCATAATCCTTCTCAAGCGCAGCCAAATCCTCCCTCGCTTCACTAAACTCCCCTTCCTCCATCCCCTCCCCGACATACCAATGCACAAAAGCCCTCTTCGCATACATCAAGTCAAACTTATGGTCAATCCTCGAAAACACCTCCGCAACCGAAGTCGAATTACTAATCATACAAACCGCACGTTGCACCTTTGCCAAATCGCCACCTGGCACAACAGTCGGCGGCTCGTAATTAATCCCACACTTAAACCCAGTCGGACACCAATCCACAAACGGAATCGTCCTCTTCGTCTTAATCGTCGCCACCGCAGCATTCACATCCTTCGGAACCACATCCCCTCTGTACATCAAACAACACGCCATATACTTCCCATGCCTCGGATCACATTTCACCATCATAGAAGAAGGCTCAAACGCACTGTTGGTTATCTCAGCAACTGATAACTGTTCATGATAAGCCTTCTCAGCTGATATCACAGGAGCGTAGGAGGAAAGCATGAAGTGAATCCTCGGGTATGGAACTAGGTTAGTTTGGAATTCTGTCACGTCGACGTTTAAAGCTCCGTCAAAACGTAACGACGCCGTTAGTGAAGAGATGACTTGGGAGACTAAACGGTTGAGATTTGTTTAGGTTGGCCTTTCGATGTCTAGTGACCGGCGGCAGATGTCGTAGATGGCTTCGTTGTCGAGAAGAATCGCGACGTCGGTGTGTTCTAGAAGGGAGTGGGTTGATAAGACGTTGTTGTAGGGCTCGACTACTGATGTTGAGACTTGGGGAGATGGGTAGACTGTGAACCCGAGTTTTGACTTTTTTCCATAGTCAACGGAGAGGCGTTCGAGTAGGAGAGAGCCTAGACCAGAGCCGGTGCCGCCGCCTACGGCATTGAAGACTAGGAAGCCTTGGAGTCCAGTGCAGTTGTCAGCTAGTTTTCGGATTCTGTCTAAACAGAGGTCCACGATTTCTTTCCCAACTGAAACATGAAGATAAATTATTTATAAGAAATTGGATAGCCACGTTTCGTGATGTAAGAAAAGGTTTGGACACGTGTTAAGAAAAGTTTTACTTGTGTAGTGGCCACGTGCGAAGTTGTTAGCAGCGTCTTCTTTGCCGCTGATTAGTTGTTCAGGGTGGAAGAGCTGGCGGTAGGTTCCGGTTCTGACTTCATCGATGACGGTGGGTTCGAGATCTACAAAGACGGCGCGTGGGACATGTTTTCCGGCGCCGGTTTCGCTGAAGAAGGTGTTGAAAGCGTCGTCGCCTCCTCCGACTGTTTTGTCACTTGGCATCTGTCCATCAGGCTGTATACAAAAGATCGATGAATCAGTAATGTATCAGGAGTAGTTAATTTACTTGAAATGAGATGTGAATTTTAAGGTATTTTAACTCTAAAATCGTTTACGATTTTCTGCTTTTCATAGAGAATATAAATTAAGAAATTAATCCTAAAACTCAGATAGATAAGTCGAAAATTCACGCTCAATTTGAACAAAGAACCAATCTAACTAATCACAGGCTTCTAATATATCTGTGTACAAACCCATGGTGCTTAATGCTTCTAGATCCACGATTTTCTAGAGATGAATTGGACTAAAAAGTCTCCAAGAGTTGAAAAAAAAATTCACGGTTTATTATAGGAAGTAGCTGATAAAATAACAGATAGATGTAGTTTTATAGATGTTGATGTGATGGGAGAATCACATATAGACTTGCATGACAGTGTAACGGGAATCCATGAGGTTGAAGTGGATCATGTGTTAGTGGTTGATGCTGGTAGTGATGTTGAAGTGGTACTTGAGACCCAACCAGTTGTGAAAAAAAAAAGTGCAAGTTAACCAATTGTGAAATAGAGAAGGAACTTTAAAAGGATCAGAAATTCAAATCTCAAGGTAATAAAGGATGGACCTGGTGCAATATCTACATCACCAATAACTTTAAAGTAGGGGAAAAAGTGTTTGGGAATGATCCAGATGTAACTGTTACATAGTTTGACACAAGGGTAGATGTCAAAAACATTTGATCTATATTTTTATAAATTTGGTCATTCAACAATGGTCGTTTGGGGCACTGTTTACCCATAAACACATACTCTTTAAGTGTTTAACATTAAACAATGCCTTTTATATCATGTAGGAACTTTACTTTATCCATCTTAAGTTTCATGTATGATCTTGCTTTCCTTTTGTTGATGTTTTGGTCATTTTGAAAGTAAGTTGTCATTACAATTTTATTCATTACATTATGATTTTGCTTTCCAATTCTTGTTAAAATATGGTCATTGTGAAATTAGGTTGTCTTTACAATTTTGGCCATTACAATATGATCTTGTTGTTAAAATATGGTCATTTTAAAAGTAGGTTTTCATTACAATTTTGGTCATTACAGTATGATCTTGCTTTCCAATTCTTGTTGAAATATGGTCATTTTGAAAGTAGGTTGTCATTACAATTTCCTTCATTTAGGTCCTTCACAACAGAAAGTTGGTTGCCATTACACTTTTTCCCAACAACCATAGTTGTATGTATTTTTAAGTTTCGCTATTCATGACAATGACCAAGTAATAAACCGAAGAAGGTTAAACAAAAACTTGAAGCATAATTTATATTTGATTTGATCCAACTAACCGTGACTTTTACGCCCTTTTACCTGTTACAAGCAACACTAGAAACAACATAAACAAGACAACTACATAACATTTCAGACTACACACTTTCCTGTGCATCTTATCCAATTCTATATCTGTCTTCCTTTGGTACATATTGAATTCACATTCAAAAATGGAAATCCTCACTTCACATGATAGTGATCCTATTTCATATTCATTCTTATTGACTGTTTCTTCATCTTCAACCCATTTCTAGAATTTAGATTTACTCTTAGGACTAATCTAAAACAAAGAATACAAATCAATGAACAAAACATCATCAGATAAATATTGAAACCCACATTACTAGTTAATTAGAGCAAGCCCTAAATTGTTTGCCAGGGTTATCTAGGGTTTGTTATGTCCAAATTCGAGAGGGATAGCCACAATCACTAACTTTTGACTTTAGCTTTAATTGAGAGTTTGTTAGTTGGTGTGATTGTATGTTTTCTTTGTTTGTTTTCTGTTGCGAGTGAATTTACTACTCTTTATATGGTGGTGATTTGAGCTTGTTTTGCATGCATTGTCGTTTTATTGTTTGTTTCGAGGCATTGTGTGTTAGTGATTGTAATGGCATGTTTTAATGATCTTTTCTGCTTATGGGTTTTATCTGTTCTTGTTTTGAACAGTAAATTCTGTTTTTGGTGAAAGTTGACTTGATTGTAATTGCCTAATTGGTTCATTTACTGATTTGGATCAATTCTAAAGTAGATTGGAAACAAAGAAAACATACAATCACACCAACTAACAAACTTTTGACTTTAGCTTTCATTGATTCATCACCCACATCATCCCCCCCTTCAGCACCAACCTCCTCATAATCCTTCTCAAGCGCAGCCAAATCCTCCCTCGCTTCACTAAACTCCCCTTCCTCCATCCCCTCCCCGACATACCAATGCACAAAAGCCCTCTTCGCATACATCAAGTCAAACTTATGGTCAATCCTCGAAAACACCTCCGCAACCGAAGTCGAATTACTAATCATACAAACCGCACGTTGCACCTTTGCCAAATCGCCACCTGGCACAACAGTCGGCGGCTCGTAATTAATCCCACACTTAAACCCAGTCGGACACCAATCCACAAACGGAATCGTCCTCTTCGTCTTAATCGTCGCCACCGCAGCATTCACATCCTTCGGAACCACATCCCCTCTGTACATCAAACAACACGCCATATACTTCCCATGCCTCGGATCACATTTCACCATCATAGAAGAAGGCTCAAACGCACTGTTGGTTATCTCAGCAACTGATAACTGTTCATGATAAGCCTTCTCAGCTGATATCACAGGAGCGTAGGAGGAAAGCATGAAGTGAATCCTCGGGTATGGAACTAGGTTAGTTTGGAATTCTGTCACGTCGACGTTTAAAGCTCCGTCAAAACGTAACGACGCCGTTAGTGAAGAGATGACTTGGGAGACTAAACGGTTGAGATTTGTTTAGGTTGGCCTTTCGATGTCTAGTGACCGGCGGCAGATGTCGTAGATGGCTTCGTTGTCGAGAAGAATCGCGACGTCGGTGTGTTCTAGAAGGGAGTGGGTTGATAAGACGTTGTTGTAGGGCTCGACTACTGATGTTGAGACTTGGGGAGATGGGTAGACTGTGAACCCGAGTTTTGACTTTTTTCCATAGTCAACGGAGAGGCGTTCGAGTAGGAGAGAGCCTAGACCAGAGCCGGTGCCGCCGCCTACGGCATTGAAGACTAGGAAGCCTTGGAGTCCAGTGCAGTTGTCAGCTAGTTTTCGGATTCTGTCTAAACAGAGGTCCACGATTTCTTTCCCAACTGAAACATGAAGATAAATTATTTATAAGAAATTGGATAGCCACGTTTCGTGATGTAAGAAAAGGTTTGGACACGTGTTAAGAAAAGTTTTACTTGTGTAGTGGCCACGTGCGAAGTTGTTAGCAGCGTCTTCTTTGCCGCTGATTAGTTGTTCAGGGTGGAAGAGCTGGCGGTAGGTTCCGGTTCTGACTTCATCGATGACGGTGGGTTCGAGATCTACAAAGACGGCGCGTGGGACATGTTTTCCGGCGCCGGTTTCGCTGAAGAAGGTGTTGAAAGCGTCGTCGCCTCCTCCGACTGTTTTGTCACTTGGCATCTGTCCATCAGGCTGTATACAAAAGATCGATGAATCAGTAATGTATCAGGAGTAGTTAATTTACTTGAAATGAGATGTGAATTTTAAGGTATTTTAACTCTAAAATCGTTTACGATTTTCTGCTTTTCATAGAGAATATAAATTAAGAAATTAATCCTAAAACTCAGATAGATAAGTCGAAAATTCACGCTCAATTTGAACAAAGAACCAATCTAACTAATCACAGGCTTCTAATATATCTGTGTACAAACCCATGGTGCTTAATGCTTCTAGATCCACGATTTTCTAGAGATGAATTGGACTAAAAAGTCTCCAAGAGTTGAAAAAAAAATTCACGGTTTATTATAGGAAGTAGCTGATAAAATAACAGATAGATGTAGTTTTATAGATGTTGATGTGATGGGAGAATCACATATAGACTTGCATGACAGTGTAACGGGAATCCATGAGGTTGAAGTGGATCATGTGTTAGTGGTTGATGCTGGTAGTGATGTTGAAGTGGTACTTGAGACCCAACCAGTTGTGAAAAAAAAAAGTGCAAGTTAACCAATTGTGAAATAGAGAAGGAACTTTAAAAGGATCAGAAATTCAAATCTCAAGGTAATAAAGGATGGACCTGGTGCAATATCTACATCACCAATAACTTTAAAGTAGGGGAAAAAGTGTTTGGGAATGATCCAGATGTAACTGTTACATAGTTTGACACAAGGGTAGATGTCAAAAACATTTGATCTATATTTTTATAAATTTGGTCATTCAACAATGGTCGTTTGGGGCACTGTTTACCCATAAACACATACTCTTTAAGTGTTTAACATTAAACAATGCCTTTTATATCATGTAGGAACTTTACTTTATCCATCTTAAGTTTCATGTATGATCTTGCTTTCCTTTTGTTGATGTTTTGGTCATTTTGAAAGTAAGTTGTCATTACAATTTTATTCATTACATTATGATTTTGCTTTCCAATTCTTGTTAAAATATGGTCATTGTGAAATTAGGTTGTCTTTACAATTTTGGCCATTACAATATGATCTTGTTGTTAAAATATGGTCATTTTAAAAGTAGGTTTTCATTACAATTTTGGTCATTACAGTATGATCTTGCTTTCCAATTCTTGTTGAAATATGGTCATTTTGAAAGTAGGTTGTCATTACAATTTCCTTCATTTAGGTCCTTCACAACAGAAAGTTGGTTGCCATTACACTTTTTCCCAACAACCATAGTTGTATGTATTTTTAAGTTTCGCTATTCATGACAATGACCAAGTAATAAACCGAAGAAGGTTAAACAAAAACTTGAAGCATAATTTATATTTGATTTGATCCAACTAACCGTGACTTTTACGCCCTTTTACCTGTTACAAGCAACACTAGAAACAACATAAACAAGACAACTACATAACATTTCAGACTACACACTTTCCTGTGCATCTTATCCAATTCTATATCTGTCTTCCTTTGGTACATATTGAATTCACATTCAAAAATGGAAATCCTCACTTCACATGATAGTGATCCTATTTCATATTCATTCTTATTGACTGTTTCTTCATCTTCAACCCATTTCTAGAATTTAGATTTACTCTTAGGACTAATCTAAAACAAAGAATACAAATCAATGAACAAAACATCATCAGATAAATATTGAAACCCACATTACTAGTTAATTAGAGCAAGCCCTAAATTGTTTGCCAGGGTTATCTAGGGTTTGTTATGTCCAAATTCGAGAGGGATAGCCACAATCACTAACTTTTGACTTTAGCTTTAATTGAGAGTTTGTTAGTTGGTGTGATTGTATGTTTTCTTTGTTTGTTTTCTGTTGCGAGTGAATTTACTACTCTTTATATGGTGGTGATTTGAGCTTGTTTTGCATGCATTGTCGTTTTATTGTTTGTTTCGAGGCATTGTGTGTTAGTGATTGTAATGGCATGTTTTAATGATCTTTTCTGCTTATGGGTTTTATCTGTTCTTGTTTTGAACAGTAAATTCTGTTTTTGGTGAAAGTTGACTTGATTGTAATTGCCTAATTGGTTCATTTACTGATTTGGATCAATTCTAAAGTAGATTGGAAACAAAGAAAACATACAATCACACCAACTAACAAACTTTTGACTTTAGCTTTCATTGATTCATCACCCACATCATCCCCCCCTTCAGCACCAACCTCCTCATAATCCTTCTCAAGCGCAGCCAAATCCTCCCTCGCTTCACTAAACTCCCCTTCCTCCATCCCCTCCCCGACATACCAATGCACAAAAGCCCTCTTCGCATACATCAAGTCAAACTTATGGTCAATCCTCGAAAACACCTCCGCAACCGAAGTCGAATTACTAATCATACAAACCGCACGTTGCACCTTTGCCAAATCGCCACCTGGCACAACAGTCGGCGGCTCGTAATTAATCCCACACTTAAACCCAGTCGGACACCAATCCACAAACGGAATCGTCCTCTTCGTCTTAATCGTCGCCACCGCAGCATTCACATCCTTCGGAACCACATCCCCTCTGTACATCAAACAACACGCCATATACTTCCCATGCCTCGGATCACATTTCACCATCATAGAAGAAGGCTCAAACGCACTGTTGGTTATCTCAGCAACTGATAACTGTTCATGATAAGCCTTCTCAGCTGATATCACAGGAGCGTAGGAGGAAAGCATGAAGTGAATCCTCGGGTATGGAACTAGGTTAGTTTGGAATTCTGTCACGTCGACGTTTAAAGCTCCGTCAAAACGTAACGACGCCGTTAGTGAAGAGATGACTTGGGAGACTAAACGGTTGAGATTTGTTTAGGTTGGCCTTTCGATGTCTAGTGACCGGCGGCAGATGTCGTAGATGGCTTCGTTGTCGAGAAGAATCGCGACGTCGGTGTGTTCTAGAAGGGAGTGGGTTGATAAGACGTTGTTGTAGGGCTCGACTACTGATGTTGAGACTTGGGGAGATGGGTAGACTGTGAACCCGAGTTTTGACTTTTTTCCATAGTCAACGGAGAGGCGTTCGAGTAGGAGAGAGCCTAGACCAGAGCCGGTGCCGCCGCCTACGGCATTGAAGACTAGGAAGCCTTGGAGTCCAGTGCAGTTGTCAGCTAGTTTTCGGATTCTGTCTAAACAGAGGTCCACGATTTCTTTCCCAACTGAAACATGAAGATAAATTATTTATAAGAAATTGGATAGCCACGTTTCGTGATGTAAGAAAAGGTTTGGACACGTGTTAAGAAAAGTTTTACTTGTGTAGTGGCCACGTGCGAAGTTGTTAGCAGCGTCTTCTTTGCCGCTGATTAGTTGTTCAGGGTGGAAGAGCTGGCGGTAGGTTCCGGTTCTGACTTCATCGATGACGGTGGGTTCGAGATCTACAAAGACGGCGCGTGGGACATGTTTTCCGGCGCCGGTTTCGCTGAAGAAGGTGTTGAAAGCGTCGTCGCCTCCTCCGACTGTTTTGTCACTTGGCATCTGTCCATCAGGCTGTATACAAAAGATCGATGAATCAGTAATGTATCAGGAGTAGTTAATTTACTTGAAATGAGATGTGAATTTTAAGGTATTTTAACTCTAAAATCGTTTACGATTTTCTGCTTTTCATAGAGAATATAAATTAAGAAATTAATCCTAAAACTCAGATAGATAAGTCGAAAATTCACGCTCAATTTGAACAAAGAACCAATCTAACTAATCACAGGCTTCTAATATATCTGTGTACAAACCCATGGTGCTTAATGCTTCTAGATCCACGATTTTCTAGAGATGAATTGGACTAAAAAGTCTCCAAGAGTTGAAAAAAAAATTCACGGTTTATTATAGGAAGTAGCTGATAAAATAACAGATAGATGTAGTTTTATAGATGTTGATGTGATGGGAGAATCACATATAGACTTGCATGACAGTGTAACGGGAATCCATGAGGTTGAAGTGGATCATGTGTTAGTGGTTGATGCTGGTAGTGATGTTGAAGTGGTACTTGAGACCCAACCAGTTGTGAAAAAAAAAAGTGCAAGTTAACCAATTGTGAAATAGAGAAGGAACTTTAAAAGGATCAGAAATTCAAATCTCAAGGTAATAAAGGATGGACCTGGTGCAATATCTACATCACCAATAACTTTAAAGTAGGGGAAAAAGTGTTTGGGAATGATCCAGATGTAACTGTTACATAGTTTGACACAAGGGTAGATGTCAAAAACATTTGATCTATATTTTTATAAATTTGGTCATTCAACAATGGTCGTTTGGGGCACTGTTTACCCATAAACACATACTCTTTAAGTGTTTAACATTAAACAATGCCTTTTATATCATGTAGGAACTTTACTTTATCCATCTTAAGTTTCATGTATGATCTTGCTTTCCTTTTGTTGATGTTTTGGTCATTTTGAAAGTAAGTTGTCATTACAATTTTATTCATTACATTATGATTTTGCTTTCCAATTCTTGTTAAAATATGGTCATTGTGAAATTAGGTTGTCTTTACAATTTTGGCCATTACAATATGATCTTGTTGTTAAAATATGGTCATTTTAAAAGTAGGTTTTCATTACAATTTTGGTCATTACAGTATGATCTTGCTTTCCAATTCTTGTTGAAATATGGTCATTTTGAAAGTAGGTTGTCATTACAATTTCCTTCATTTAGGTCCTTCACAACAGAAAGTTGGTTGCCATTACACTTTTTCCCAACAACCATAGTTGTATGTATTTTTAAGTTTCGCTATTCATGACAATGACCAAGTAATAAACCGAAGAAGGTTAAACAAAAACTTGAAGCATAATTTATATTTGATTTGATCCAACTAACCGTGACTTTTACGCCCTTTTACCTGTTACAAGCAACACTAGAAACAACATAAACAAGACAACTACATAACATTTCAGACTACACACTTTCCTGTGCATCTTATCCAATTCTATATCTGTCTTCCTTTGGTACATATTGAATTCGCATTCAAAAATGGAAATCCTCACTTCACATGATAGTGATCCTATTTCATATTCATTCTTATTGACTGTTTCTTCATCTTCAACCCATTTCTAGAATTTAGATTTACTCTTAGGACTAATCTAAAACAAAGAATACAAATCAATGAACAAAACATCATCAGATAAATATTGAAACCCACATTACTAGTTAATTAGAGCAAGCCCTAAATTGTTTGCCAGGGTTATCTAGGGTTTGTTATGTCCAAATTCGAGAGGGATAGCCACAATCACTAACTTTTGACTTTAGCTTTAATTGAGAGTTTGTTAGTTGGTGTGATTGTATGTTTTCTTTGTTTGTTTTCTGTTGCGAGTGAATTTACTACTCTTTATATGGTGGTGATTTGAGCTTGTTTTGCATGCATTGTCGTTTTATTGTTTGTTTCGAGGCATTGTGTGTTAGTGATTGTAATGGCATGTTTTAATGATCTTTTCTGCTTATGGGTTTTATCTGTTCTTGTTTTGAACTGTAAATTCTGTTTTTGGTGAAAGTTGACTTGATTGTAATTGCCTAATTGGTTCATTTACTGATTTGGATCAATTCTAAAGTAGATTGGAAACAAAGAAAACATACAATCACACCAACTAACAAACTTTTGACTTTAGCTTTAAATTGATTCATCACCCACATCATCCCCCCCTTCAGCACCAACCTCCTCATAATCCTTCTCAAGCGCAGCCAAATCCTCCCTCGCTTCACTAAACTCCCCTTCCTCCATCCCCTCCCCGACATACCAATGCACAAAAGCCCTCTTCGCATACATCAAGTCAAACTTATGGTCAATCCTCGAAAACACCTCCGCAACCGAAGTCGAATTACTAATCATACAAACCGCACGTTGCACCTTTGCCAAATCGCCACCTGGCACAACAGTCGGCGGCTCGTAATTAATCCCACACTTAAACCCAGTCGGACACCAATCCACAAACTGAATCGTCCTCTTCGTCTTAATCGTCGCCACCGCAGCATTCACATCCTTCGGAACCACATCCCCTCTGTACATCAAACAACACGCCATATACTTCCCATGCCCCGGATCACATTTTGCCATCATAGAAGAAGGCTCAAACGCACTGTTGGTTATCTCAGCAACTGATAACTGTTCATGATAAGCCTTCTCAGCTGATATCACAGGAGCGTAGGAGGAAAGCATGAAGTGAATCCTCGGGTATGGAACTAGGTTAGTTTGGAATTCTGTCACGTCGACGTTTAAAGCTCCGTCAAAACGTAACGACGCCGTTAGTGAAGAGATGACTTGGGAGACTAAACGGTTGAGATTTGTGTAGGTTGGCCTTTCGATGTCTAGTGACCGGCGGCAGATGTCGTAGATGGCTTCGTTGTCGAGAAGAATCGCGACGTCGGTGTGTTCTAGAAGGGAGTGGGTTGATAAGACGTTGTTGTAGGGCTCGACTACTGATGTTGAGACTTGGGGAGATGGGTAGACTGTGAACCCGAGTTTTGACTTTTTTCCATAGTCAACGGAGAGGCGTTCGAGTAGGAGAGAGCCTAGACCAGAGCCGGTGCCGCCGCCTACGACATTGAAGACTAGGAAGCCTTGGAGTCCGGTGCAGTTGTTAGCTAGTTTTCGGATTCTGTCTAAACAGAGGTCCACGATTTCTTTCCCAACTGAAACATGAAGATAAATTATTTATAAGAAATTGGATAGCCACGTTTCGTGATGTAAGAAAAGGTTTGGACACGTGTTAAGAAAAGTTTTACTTGTGTAGTGGCCACGTGCGAAGTTGTTAGCAACGTCTTCTTTGCCGCTGATTAGTTGTTCAGGGTGGAAGAGATGGCGGTAGGTTCCGGTTCTGACTTCATCGATGACGGTGGGTTCGAGATCTACAAAGACGGCGCGTGGGACATGTTTTCCGGCGCCGGTTTCGCTGAAGAAGGTGTTGAAAGCGTCGTCACCTCCTCCGACTGTTTTGTCACTTGGCATCTGTCCATCAGGCTGTATACAAAAGATCGATGAATTAGTAATGTATCAGGAGTAGTTAATTTACTTGAAATGAGATGTGAATTTTAAGGTATTTTAACTCTAAAATCGCTTACGATTTTCTGCTTTTCATAGAGAATATAAATTAAGAAATTAATCCTAAAACTCAGATAGATAAGTCGAAAATTCAAGCTCAATTTGAACAAAGAACCAATCTAACTAATCACAGGCTTTTAATATATCTGTGTACAAACCCATGGTGCTTAATGCTTCTAGTTCCACGATTTTCTAGAGATGAATTGGACTAAAAAAGTCTCCAAGAGTTGAAAAAAAAATTCACGGTTTAACACTAAGGTAAAAAACTTCAGATCCATAAGTTTCATAAACAGTATTTCGTAATTGCGATGATGAAAACCTAAAATTCAAAAACATATGTATCATAAACAAATGATCTACTAAACTACGCATGCAAGTAGGACGAGATCATTAGATCGGCTGAAATAATAAACGAATAGCGCACGATCGCTAACGAAGCAACAGATCTAGAACTAATATGTATAGAAGCATTCAGATCTGGCGAATAACTTAAAGGATTATCAGAATTTATGCTTTTTATATAGAAAACAGAGAAGTTTAGATGGATGAGATGAAGAATCGGACCTGAATGCCATGCTCGAGGCAGTAAAGTTCTCAGCAAGCGTTTCCGACCTGAATACCGGCCTGACCGATGTGGATCGAGATGCACTCTCTCATTTTCGCAGGAGATTAGACTTGGTATATGACAGGAAATTGGAGATGAAGAACTCAATATTCAAACAAACACACATTCAAAAGGCGTTTATCAAGACGCCTTCAGATGCAAATGTATGGTTTTTGAGAATTAGGGCTTGGTATTTATAGTTGTGATACACTATAGAAGTGAGGGCGGAACTATGGTTAGGTTAACGGATGGCAATTGCTGAAGGTGACGGTTTACCCTGGGTTGTTTTTTTTTCTCCATTTAAATTTTGATTTGATTTCTTTTGCCGCCCATTGTACATGTCTGTTTTTTTATCACTTTTAAAAATTTCTAAAACGCATAACTCATGAAAACGCTGATCATTATTTTACTTTTAAAAGGGTGACTAAGGTTCATTAGTCCGATATGGCGATATATGGGGTGCCAAGGTGGATCATTGGCGTTGTAGAGAACACACGTCGTCTAAGGTCGCGCCGTTAGACGGTGTGTTTCTTATTACAAAAACAAGGTTTCAAATACTTGGAAAAACTGAGAGTTATTAGCACTTTTAGATCAAAATCTTTGGATGGTACTTTTGAAATCTTTAATTGAATGAAACTCAGTAGTATATCAAAAACAGAGAATGAAGTTGAAGTTATGATCTTTTTGTGTACTAATGAAAAAACGAGAATGACAAATTTAATAGGGAAATAACCTCCAGTTTGAAAACTGTCAAATTGGTAATTACAGTAATTAACCTCCTGTCTGAAACTGACGAAACAGGCAGAACCTTCACTAAACTACCTTAAAGTCGGATCTATGATTAGG